ACGACTGTGAGATATTGAAATAATGTTGGTTTATCATAGTAAAATGCATTCCATATAATTTTCTCAGTAGCATACTAATAAGTAAAAAATATGGGAAAACTTTTCATTTTCATATCTATTTACAATCACAGAACAAGATAATCTTATTTGTAAAGAAGCCTAAACTCACCTAACTGTACATTTCTCTGCTCTGGGTATATATTAAAATCACCTGAGGAGCTTTAAACATCTGTGGGGCCCGGCCGATGTGGCTCAGTGGTTGAGCATCGACCTATGAACCAAGAGGTCATGGTTCAATTCCCAGTCAGGGCACATGTCCGGGTTGAGGACTCGATCCCGTGTGGAGTGTGCATGAGGCAACCAATCAATGATTCTCTCTCATCATTGATGTCTCTACCTTTCTCCTTCTCCCTTCCTATTCAAACTAACCAACCAACCAACCAACCAGTGGGGGCCCTACCTCCAGATATTTTGGTCCCTCATTCTATAGATGAGGAAACTGGGGCGGGGGGGGGGGAGTAATACAAATGATACCAATATAGCATATTAAAATTTTTTTCATAAATAAGTATGTAATGACTTCTAAAACCTGAAACTTGTTGACCAAGTAAGACCTAACTAGATAATTTTTCACTATTTTTAAAAATTCTTTACTTTTAAAGTATTATATGTCTTCTTTTTCCTCCATTGATCTTTCCTCAGCCACTCCCACCCTCATATTTTTTTTCTCTTTTAAAGAATTTAAAGGTCCTCTTTACCCTTGACATTTACTCTGAACACATATTAACCTTTCTTTGAAAGAATTATTAGCCAACCATTTACCTTCAGGAGCTGACAAAATTAAAGACTTAATCATTGAAATCTGAGGGGCAAACAGGAGCTAAGGTGGTATTTTTAAATGTGGCACCTCCTTTGACAGACCTCCGACCAAGTGGGGTCTTTCCCCCTCCCCTCCTTGACACTGAGCAGGGTTGTAATTGCTTTAATCAATAGGGCAGGGCTCAAAAAACCATTTCTGTAAAGAGCCAGATAGTAAATACTTTAGGCTTTGCCGACCATATGGTCTCTGTGGTAACTACTCAAGAATGCATCATAGCACAAAAGCAGCCATAGATGATATGAATGGACATGGTTGTGTTCCATCAACACTTTTTTTACAAAGACAGTGGCAGACTGGATTTGGCCGTAGCTTACTGATCCCTGCAATAGAGTTCGGAAGAAGTGATATTATATGAATTCTGAGACTAGATCATAAAAAGCCCTGCAGCTCCCATGTGGGTCTCCTGAAACACTAATTCTCAGGAAGCTCCCTCTTAGAACTTAGCCATCATCCTGTGAGAAGCCCAGGCCAGAGGAGAGGGGCCGATGTAGGTGCTCTGGTCAACAGCCCCAGCTGAGCCCAGCCTTGGTATCATCCCACCTTAGGTGCCAACATGTGAAAAGCCTCCAAAAGTTTCGAGTTTCTAGTCACCCCTCTGAACTGAGTCTTCCTAGCTGAGGCCCAGGACATAGTGGAGCAGAGACAAAACAACCCCACCATGCCCTATCTGAGTTCTGGGAGGATAAAAGAACTGTTGTTTTCACATTGCAAGGTTTGGAGGTGGTTTATTATGCAGAAATAAACTAAAACAGAGGCTGACTAAAAAAACTCTACGAGCACACATGGAGGCTAAACATTTCAGAAAACAAAGCAGGAGTTAAAAGAATTCAATAGAAAATATTTATGCTTTTCACCCCAAGCAATTTATGCTTATAAATCATAAATTCTAAAAAAAACCCAATATCTTGTTCATATGAATAATATAAACATTCTAGAGTAAGACATGAAACATAGTTGCCAACGAGTTTGGGACTATTCTATTACAATGGCTTTATGGCTGTTTGATATAACAAACCTAGTTATTAAATATTTATTTGATTGAAAATAGTAAATAATTAGGATCAGCTAACTTAGTCCAACTGGCCTAGCCAGTCCAACCAGTCTTTGTGTTTGTGTAGAATGTTGAATGCTGGATTATGCTATGATTTCAGACACCTTGTAAGTAATAGTAAATAACTCTTATGAAGTTAGTCTATACCAGAAAAGCTTACCCTTATTTCTAAGCTTTAAGGTCAAATTGTTATATAATCTATCCTACTAGATATTCACTAATGCTGAACTTCAGGAATATATTGGTTAACAATTAGATAACAATTTGGTTATATGTTTAAATATCCCGCCTGGAGCTCCATACCTATCCTGGGCTTCTGGGAGGCTGTGTTGACTTAGGGGACTGTCAGGAATGTCCGAAGAGGTACAAAGTTTGGGCTGAAGCAAATTTAAAAGCATTACTCTGAGGCACAAATAAAATCAAGTTTGGCACAAGAGACAAAAACCAGGCACAATAAGGGTAAGCCACAAACACAGAATGAGTATTTATAAGCGAGATGAAAAATTCATTGGAAATACGTTAAGATGAAGTATTTGTCTAATGGTTCTGAGACTAATTTCAATATGTGAGTGGTTCCCCCTCCTCCACCCCCGCCCCCGCTGCTGGGAGCCGGTCCATGCTTGCTGTTTCAAGGGACCTGGCATATATGGCATACTGTTCTTAATATGTTTGCTCACCTTGGCACTATGTGTTTTAACCAAGGTCTCCTCTCTGAGAAAGGTTTTTTCCCCAGGTAGGGATTTTCCCCTGAAGTTAGGGAGGGAATAAAACCTCTTAACTAAGTGCCAGGTGGGTAATTAATCACTTTAACTACGAACAATCATGCTTAAGCTACATAATCTTTACTCCCTGGAATGGAGATAAGAAACTCCCTAACCTTTGAAATAGAGATTGATAGGATTGGAATCAACTGGTATAAATACAGATGTAAGAAGACAGAACCAAGAGAGACAGAACCTAGGCACAGAACCTACACAGAACGTTCTCTAGAGACAGAAGAACTTCGCTGGAGAACATGGCAAAAGTTCCTGGACAGAAACTGGCCTCAGAACCTAGAGACAGAACCTAGCGAGAGAACATGGCAAAAGATCCTGGACTGAACCTGACTACAGAAATTGGCAAGAGAACCTGACTAGAACCTGGTGACTGAACCTGGCTGAAGAACCTAGAGACAGAACCTGGCTGTCTCCGTGTTATTCCTTCTTCGCCGACTCCATCCACACCTTTGGGGACCCCTGGACCTGCTGGGGCAGGACCCCGGCACCCCGCCCCTCCCACACACTACCAGGCAATGCTCAGGACACCCGCTGGGTGTCCTACAATTCAACTAAATCCTGGCATTATCTACCTGGAGAAAGCATCAGATTCCAAAGGCAAAGACTTCAGTCCCACCAAATAGCCCTCCACTTCAGCAAGACCAGGCTAACACCTGTGCTTCTGACCAATCAACTATAGATTGGAGATTCCAAGACCCTCTCCTTGGACTTCAGACACCAAAGGTCCAGGTTGTTACTTGTACTTCTGACCAACTGGCTGTAAATCAGAGGTTTCCATGACCTCCCACCCTCTTGGATTCCATTAATTAGTTAGAGTGGCTCACAGAACTCAGGGAAACATTTACTTAAGTTTACCAATTTATTATAAAAGGACATGATACAAAATACAGATAGAAGAGATGCATCCGGCAAGGTATGTGGGATGGGGGTGAAGCTTCCATGCCCTATCTGAGGCATCCTGCCATGTCTGTGTTTACCAACCCGGAAGCTCTCTGAATCCTGACCTTTTGTGTTTTTATGAAGACTTCATTACATAGGCAAGAGTGATTAAATCATTGGCCATTGGTGATCAATTCAACCTCCAGCCCCTCCTGTAATTCATAAACCATCAAAACTACCTGAGAATTTTTAAAATTAGGTTTTCTCCTATATTTAATATTTGGAAGAAAAGCTGCAGGTATATGTAAGTCACTTAATCACTGCGTATCTTTGCCTATAGGCCTCTGATTGAATATATCAGTGTTTTAATGCTTACACTTTGAAGATTTCTGTTCTTCCAGAAAATAGTATTGCAACAACTGCATTTCATTTCTGTGATCTCGTTCTGGCACTCTAGAATTGTTCAAAGTCATTTTAGACAGAATTTACTATCACTGTGGATCCAGCTGTATTAAGTGATCAATTATTTAAAACGATAAATTTGAGACCCCGCCCTGCCGCAGGGGAGGGCGGGAGGAGGATGATTGACAAAGCTGATCAGTGGCTAGCCTGAACACTATTTTTAAAAATAGTGAAAAATTATCTAGTTAGGTCTTACTTGGTCAACAAGTTTCAGGTTTTAGAAGTCATTACATACTTATTTATGAAAAAAATTTTAATATGCTATTATTTGTAAAGAAGGGGCTCGCAGAGGGCTCGGCGAAGTGGGGCCGGCCGAGCTTTCCCCTTAAACGGTTGGGTTGGGCCTCCCCAGGCCTCCCGGGCTCCCAGAATGGGTTGTTATGGTAACAAATGACTGCACAGTCCCTTACGAACTGGCCAATGAGAGGGCCCGTCTTTTCCACCGCACCTCTGAGCCCGAGGTGTTGCGAAAGCCCGGGTCCAGGCAGCGAGCAGACGTGCCAGACGTTCTGCCGAAGGGCGGGGGCGGGGCTTGTTACGTCAACACGGCCAGCCTATCACGCTCGTTCTTGCTCAACGGCCCCGCCCCTTTACCGCACATTTCCCCTCCCCTAGCTCAGTTCGCACGACGCAGCGGTTGGGAATACAGGTATTTTCAGAGCTGGAGCCGCCTGCGCCGGCGCCATTTTGTGCCTGTGGAGAAAGAGGCTCCAGAGGCGGCTGGAAAAGGGAGATCACCCCTGAGAAGGCGGCGTTGCGTACCCGCGGCCCCCCCCCCCACACACACACCCCGTGTCATCCTCCAACCCCCCTCCGCGGTCAGCATGTGGTGAGGCCGAAGCCGCAAGAGAGCCGGGAAGAGGAAGCGCAGTCGGAAGGGAGGCGGGTGTCGAGAGCGGCTTCAGCTTCGGCTGCGGCGAACCTCTGAGGGGGGCGGGGGGGCCGCGGCGCAATGTCAGAGCCGACACCGGCCGAGCCCGGTATCCCAGGGGCCCGGGAGGACGCCTGTCGGGATTATCAGTCATCCCTCGAAGACCTGACCTTCAATAGCAAACCGCACATCAATATGCTGACCATTCTAGCCGAGGAGAACCTGCCCTTCGCCAAGGAGATCTTCTCTCTCATCGAGGCCCAAACCGCCAAGGCTCCTTCCTCAGAGAAGCTTCCTGTTATGTACCTTATGGATTCTAGCGTGAAAAACGTTGGACGAGAGTATCTCATTACCTTTACTACAAATCTAGTTGCAACATTTATTTGTGTGTTTGAAAAGGTGGATGAAAATACTAGAAAACGTTTATTTAAATTACGTTCCACATGGGATGAGATATTCCCATTGAAGAAACTTTATGCCCTGGATGTCAGAGTCAATTTATTAGATCCTGCTTGGCCTATTAAACCTCTACCCCCCAATGTGAATACACCTAGCATCCATGTGAACCCTAAATTTTTAAATAAATCGCCTGAAGAGCCTTCAACACCTGGCACAGTGGTCACTTCCCCTAGCATCTCCACTCCTCCAATGGTTCCTGATATACAAAAGAATCTTACCCAAGAACAACTATAAGGCAGCAGCTACTTGCAAAACAAAAACAGTTATTAGAACTTCAGCAGAAAAAGCTGGAGCTTGAACTAGAGCAGACTAAAGCACAACTGGCAGTTTCTCTTAGTGTTCAGCAGGAGACATCCAACTTAGGTCCTGGATCTGCACCATCCAAATTACATGTTTCATAAATTCCCCCTATGGAGGTTAAAACTCCCCATCAGATTCCTTTGCAACCTGAAAAAAGCCGTGCAGGTCCATCCTTACAAATTCAGGACTTGAAAGGAACAAACCGGGATCCCCGTCTTAATGGGATAAGTCAGCATTCTTCTCACGGAAAAGATCAAAGTCACAGAAAAGAATTCCCAATGAATACATTAAACCAATCTGATATTAAGACAAGTAAAACTATATCTTCTGAAAAACAAAATTCATCCAAACAAGGAAAAAGTAAATCAGGTGAAAAAAATAACCAAGAAAGAACTTGACCAGTTAGATTCTAAATCTAAATCTAAATCACCTTTGAAAAACAAATTCTCTCACACAAAAGACTTGAAAAATCAAGAATCTGAATGCCCAAGGTTGTCTGACATGAGTAGGAGAGATCCAAGATTAAAAAAAAACATCTTCAAGATAAGACTGATAGCAAAGATGATAATACAAAAGAGAAGAGAAAAACTTCAGAAAAAAAAGATAAAGATGAGCATATGAAATCATCTGAACATAGTCTGGTTGGAAGTCAAAATAAAATCGTTAATGGCATTGTACAAAAACAAGATGCAATAACGGAAGACTCAGAAAAATAGGGAATAAAACCAGGGAGATCAAGTACTAGAAAGCGATCAAGATCGAGATCACCTGCCAGAAGCCGGTCCATCTTTGCTGCTTGACACAGTCGCTGCAGGGAAGAAACATCTGCACAGCATATGTTTCAAGGGACCTGGCGTATATGGCATACTGTTCTTAATATGTTTGCTCCCCTTCTTGGTGCTATGTGTTTTAACCAAGGTCACCTCTCCGAGGTTGTTTCCCCAGGTAGGGACTTTTCCCTGAAGTTAGGGAGGGAATACAACCCCTTAACTAAGTGCCAGTTGGGTAGTTAATCACTTTATGAACAATCACGCTTAAGCTACATAATCTTTACTCCCTGGAATGGAGATAAGAAACACCCTAACCTTTGGAATAGAAATTGATAGGATTAAAATCAACTGGGATAAATACAGATGTAACAAGACAATAAAACACAGAACTTGGCTAGAGATCCTGGCTAGGCTGCTGATCTACTGCACGCTGTCTCTGTGTCATTCCTTCTTTGCTGACTCCGTCCACACCTTTGGGGACCCCTGGACCTGCGGGGGCTGGACCCCAACAATCACCCAAGTCTCGGCCACCAATTATACATTCTCCTAAGAGAAGAGATAGGCGGTCACCCAAACAAAGGCAAAGGAGTATGTCTCCAACCTCGACAGCCAAAGCTGGAAAGATTCGCCAATCTGGAGGTAAGCAGTCATATATGGAAGACTTTGTGCCACCTTCCAGGGAAGAAAGAAATGCTAAGAGAAGTACTAAACAGGATGTTCGAGATCCAAGGCGAATAAAGAAGACTAAAGAGGAATGACCGCAAGAAACTACATGTCAATGTTCTACAAAGGCAGGCACTGAACCAAAGGAGAATGTAGAAAATTGGTCAAGTTCCAAGTCTAACAAAAGATGAAAATCTGGTTGGGAAGAAAATAAAAGCTTACAAGGTGACGACCATAGTAAATCTCCTCATCTAAGGCATAGGGAAAGCTGGTCAAGCACTAAAGGAATTTTGTCACCTCGAGCCCCAAAGCAACAGCATCGATTAAGTGTAGATGCCAATCTTCAGATTCCTAAAGCGTTAACTCTTGCCAGCAAAAGAGAATTACTTCAAAAGATGAGTGAATGTTTAGCATCTGGTGAAATTACACAGGATGAGTTCCTTGTTGGTGTGCATCAAATTCAACAACTATTTCAGTATCAAGAAGGTAAACATAGATGCAATGTACGTGGTAGTCCAGAAGAAAATAAAGGTGGATTAAAAAAGAAACCTCTCTTATCTGATGCTGAATTAACCTAGTATGAACATAAAGCAAAACTGAAAAGGACACAGGTTCAGCATTCATTTCCAAGACTTGATCTCTTAGATCCTGATATTTTTGACTACCCTTTGACTGATGCCTTGTTGTCTGGAATAGAATGTGAGCCATCCAAAAGTAAACATGCAAGTAGGAATAGTGGAGCACAGTTTGACAGAAAAGAACAATTTAGTGAAAGAGCAAGACGTCTTTCTCCTATATCTGGGAGTCCTTCTTATGCTGAGAATCTTTCACCCCATGAAGGCCAGAGAAGACATGACGAGCAAGTCTCTGCTAAAGGTGTGCGAGAAGAGCAGAGGTCACCATTCAATGATTGTTTTCCACTTAAGCGACCTAGATATGAAGATGCAGATAAACCATTTGTAGATAGCCCAGCATCACGATTCGCTGGCCTCAATATAAATCAGCAACTACAGCATTAGCTGAAGACAGACCATTATTTGATGGACCTAATAGGCCATCAGTGACAAGAGATGGCCCAAACAAGATGATTTTTGAAGGACCTAATAAATTAAGCCCTGGAATTGATGGACCTCCTGCACCAGGTTCTCTTTGATTTGATGGGTCACCTGGACAAATGGGGGATGGTGGTCCTTTGAGATTTGAAGGACCACAAGGTCAGCTAGGAGGCAGGTGTCCTTTGAGATTTAAAGGTCCTCCAGGACCAGTAGGGACACCTTGCGGTTTGAAGGGCCAATTGGTCAAGCAGGCAGAGGTGGTTTTCGGTTTGAAGGTTCCCCTGGTCTGAGGTTTGAGGGATCTGCAGGTGGTCTACGATTTGAAGGACCAGCGGGCCAGCCTGTGGGTGGGCTCAGGTTTGAGGGACATTGGGGTCAACCTGTGGGAGGTCTGAGGTTTGAGGGACCTCATGGTCAGCCTGTGGGTGGACTTAGATTTGATAATCCCCGAGGTCAGCCTGTAAGTGGACATAGATTTGAGGGGGGTCATGGTCCATCAGGAGCTGCAATTAGGTTTGATGGACCTCATGGTCAGCCAGCAGGTGGGATCAGATTTGAGGGCCCTTTGCTACAGCAGGGAGTTGGAATGAGGTTTGAGGGCCCCCATGGTCAGTCAGTAATTGGTCTGAGGTTTGAAGGACAACATAATCAACTTGGTGGAAACCTTAGGTTTGAGGGTCCACATGGTCAACCAGGGGTTGGGATCAGGTTTGAGGGACCCTTAGTCCAACAAGGAGGTGGAATGAGGTTTGAGGGTCCTGTACCAGGAGGTGGACTGAGAATTGAAGGGCCTCTGGGTCAAGGTGGTCCAAGATTTGAAGGTTGTCATGCTTTAAGGTTTGATGGGCAGCCAGGTCAGCCATCACTCTTACCAAGATTTGATGGATTACATGGTCAACCAGGTCCTAGATTTGAAAGAACTGGTCAACCAGGCCCACAGAGATTTGATGGACCACCTGGACAGCAGGTTCAACCAAGATTTGATGGTGTTCCTCAAAGATTTGATGGTCCACAATACCAGCAAGCAAGGTTTGATACTCCCCTTGGTCTTCAAGGCGCACGATTTGACAATCATCCTTCACAAAGGCTTGAATCTGTTTCTTTCGGTCAGACTGGTCCATATAATGAGCCGCCTGGCAATGCTTTTAATGCCCCATCCCAAGGACTGCAATTCCAAAGACATGAACAAATATTTGATTCACCTCAAGGACCAAATTTTAATGGACCACATGGCCCTGGGAACCAGAGTTTCTCAAATCCCCTTAGCAGAGCTTCTGGACACTATTTTGATGAAAAGAATCTTCAAAGTTCTCAATTTGGAAACTCTGGCAATTTACCTGCTCCAATAACAGTAGGAAACATTCAGGCATCTCAACAGGTTCTGACTGGTGTTGCTCAACCAGTACCATTTGGCCAGGGACAACAATTTTTACCAGTTCACCCACAAAATCCTGGAGCATTTGTTCAGAATCCTTCAGGAGCCCTTCCTAAGGCATATCCTGATAATCGCCTCAGTCAGGCGAATGTAAATGAATTATTTTCAAAACTGCTAAGAACAGGAATTCTCAAATTGTCCCAGCCTGATTCAGCTACAACACAAGTAAATGAAGTTGCTGCTCAGCCTCCCACTGAAGAGGAGGAAGATCAAAATGAAGATCAAGATGTTCCAGATCTTACCAATTTTACAATTGAAGAGTTAAAACAACATTATGATAGTGTTATAAATCGACTGTACACTGGTATTCAGTGTTACTCTTGTGGAATGAGGTTTACAACATCACAGACAGATGTTTATGCAGATCACTTGGACTGGCATTATTGGCAAAATAGAACTGAAAAAGACGTTAGCAGAAAAGTCACTCATAGACGTTGGTACTACAGTTTAATAGACTGGATAGAACTTGAGAAAATAGCTGATTTGGAAGAACGTGCAAAGAGCCAGTTTTTTGAAAAGGTGCATGATGAAGTTGCGCTCAAAACTCAGGAAGCTGCTAAAGAAAAGGAGTTCCAAAGTGTACCGGCAGGGCCAGCTGGAGCAGTGGAGAGTTGTGAAATCTGTCAAGAACAATTTGAACAAATCTGGGATGAAGAAGAGGAGGAGTGGCATTTAAAGAATGCCATTAGAGTGGATGGAAAGATTTATCATCCATCATGTTATGAAGATTTATCAAAATACATCTTCATTTGATTGTACACCATTTCCCAGCAAGACACCAGTTGAAAACCCTTTGAACATTATGTTGAACATTGTCAAAAATGAATTGCAGGAACCCTGTGAAAGTCCCAAAGTTAAGGAAGAACAAACCGATACCCCACCAGCTTGTACAGAGGAGAGCATAGCAACACCCACTGAAATTAAAACTGAAAATGATACAGTTGAGTCAGTTTAAATAAAATGAGAAAGATATGTTTTTCTTTTTTTAAAAAGCTGCTGTTTGGATGTAGGTGAAGAATTTTTTTATGTATATATAGAACTATCTATATAAATTGTCTAGCTGAGGCAGGGCCTTCAGCTATCATTTGGTTAATAGATACATTTTAGTATTTGCATATCCTACTGACTGCACAGTTTCAGGTGCTTGTTTGTGTGAAAGTTCTGTAGATGTGTGCAAATTTACAAAATGAAATTGTATGTGTAAAAACTTACGATTTTCACTTGTGAAACTGTAAATTATAAATAAAAAATATTTTTGCTACCAAAAAATAAATAAATAATAAATTTGGGGGAGGTGTGGAAGAAAGGAATACATTTTATAAAATGTTACAATAAATCTCACAACTGACTTTTGACTAGTTGGTGTTTTAAGAATATTTTTTAAATTTTGTAATGTGCAGTTAAGGTCCATCTTGGAGGCTGGCTACCAGAGCTAAGTATTCCCTTATAACACACCCTTCCTTCCTCCATTCCTTCCTTCCTTCCTTTTCTCTCACTAATCAATTTCACATAATTACTATTTCAGTTGAACTAAAGATCAAATCAAGTTACAAAAAAAAATCCAGCTATAGTTTCTGTTGAATTTTCATGGATTCTACAGATTAATGCAGGAGAAATGGACATATTTATAGCATGGAGTCTTCTGATCAAGCCTTTTTATATCCTGTTAAGTTTTCTATTTTTCTTCATCTAGGTCCAACATACTTTCTGTTGTGATTTGCTGTTATTGTTTTTCTTGCACTAATTTTACCTCTTATAATTTTGAACTGGTTTTAGCTGGAATATAACAATACTATTGATTTTTATATATTTATAAAAAATGTATATTTATACTTATATAAATGTATACATTTTATGCATTTATAAAAATTTAATGTCTGACTTATTGAATGCTCTTATTATTTCTAATAACTTGTAAATTGATTCCCTTAGGTTTTCCAGGTATATTATGTCATCTGCACATAATGACAATTTTGCTATCTCCCTTTCAATAGTAAACCTCTTATTTTGTTCTTGTGACTAATTATACTATCAGTTATTTTTATGAGAAAAACCTGGGACTAGAAAGTCTTCTGAATTGGGTGGAAATAATATATAGGAAAACTATTTTACATATTTTATTCTTTAAATTGGGGTGTAGATGTGGAATAACGTTTCCAAACTACCCTTCCAAATGCTATGAATCAAAACTTGCCACATAAAAAGCTTCCCAGAATTTTAGTTTTTTAAAATATCCCATATCTACATTGCTTTGAAAGAACTTAACCACAAAGTCTGGCTTCCAGACAGCAGCCCTTTTTCCTTACCACTTCAGGCAAAGGTTCAAAGGATACTTTTCATGGGGCTTTAAACAAATTATTTTCCCAAGGAGTTTATGGCATAATACACTTTGGATCATCAAAACAAGAATCACACATGTAAAGATAAATAAGGAAAGACTCCTCTGAAAATCCAGAATACAGACCACAGCACAAAAACAACATAACTAGAGGAGGAGAAGGAAAGGCAAGGAGAGACTCAGCTTTCAGAGGAATGTTACATCCTCTGCCAGGCATTGGCTTCTGTCCTTTGACAACAGTTGTTAACAATCTCTTGAGCACTGGGAGTGTCAGATATTTTACGGAGAAAATGCTGATGGGTAGCAATCTGGGAAGGGGAAACTAGAGACTTGCCTTAACTTAGTACTGTTCCTGTGTGGTAAGCATAATGTTCTTACTTAGATTGCATGTTACACAACAATAAAAATAACATGTTTTCTAAAGATGCTTTTACTTATAATTTATAAATCTTTTTCTTCTTATATATCAATTATTGTTTGGCGGGATATAGCCTAAGCGACCATTGCAACCGAACGGTTGACGGGTCGCTATGATGCGCACTAACCACCAGGGGGCAGACGCTCAATGTAGGAACTACTCAAATCTCTAGGTTCCAAACGAAAACACTGAAAAATGTGGCCTGTTCTCTTTAACTCTCAAATGGCCATCATGGGAGAAAAAACAAACAAAAAACACTGCAAATTTAAGCAAGTTTTGCTATGGCTCTGTAGGGGACTGAATTAACAGCAATTTTTAACTTAATGCCAAATGTGAGTCAGTTTAAACCAAGGATGTCAAACCAAGCCATTCTATTGTGCAGTAGCTTGGAACAAACCCCATCCTAGCCTGGATCAGCAATATTCACCAGAACTCAAACGAGTGGGGAGAAAAAGCAATTTAATTAATGTTCCTCACTGAACTCTTGATTCCATCCACCATCCCCTCCTCCCAAACCTTTCTCTCCACACCTCCTCCACCTAAGAAAATGGCAACCCATTTGTATAATCCACAGATGATGTTATAAATATCCAAATGGTCCTTGGCAGAAAAAAGGTTCCCCACCCCTGCCTTAATCCAACTCATCTATATTGCTTACCTGACATCTGCAATAGCTTCCTAATTGGTCTGCTTACTTCCACCCTGACCTCTACCAAATTCCATATATATCTATATCTATAGATATATATTCAACTTGTATACTGCATATTTCTTCCCTCAAAATGTAAGCTTCGTGAAGACAAAGACCATGTCTGATTTTAACTGGGGTGTTCCTGGTGCCTAGCACAGTACAATAAAAGTTATTGTGAGAATGAATGGTTTGTAGAATCTCTGCATGACAGAAGTCATGTCCACAGCAGACAATTACAGTTCAGAGTCCATTCTCTTAAAAGTCTCCCTTCGCCTGCCCAGGCTGATTGTATGGTGATCTGTTAGCAGAGCCTCTTAGGCAAAAAACCAGAGTGAGAGCTTTGATAAAGTGGGACTAGATGCAATGTATTCAAACTGAGCCTAACCCTTCCTAGCTCAGGAGATGAAGAATTTTTGTGGAAACACGCACACACACACACAATCTTATAGAGCCTTTGATACATTACTGCCCTCTGGTGGCGATAATCTTTATCTGCTTGCAACCAAGAACTTCCTGTCTTCTATGTCTCAAATTTTCCTGAAATTTTATGATTTTAACCTTGATATGTCTCCGTTGATCCATTATGTCTTCCTTCTAGAAGTGCATGTCCTTCGGTTCTAGAAAACTTTCTTGAATTATTTCTTTGAAATTTTCTCTGTCCTTTTTGTAATTCCTAAAATTTGTATGTTAGAGCTCCTCAATTGATCTTTTAACTTTCCAATCCTTTTCCTCCCTCCCTGGTTTTATTTTGTACTACTTTTTGAGAGGGGATTCTTTTGGCTCCACCAAAATGTCACCAAAACGACCTGTTGATAAAGCAAAGCTGAGTTTACTCTCACTCAAGTGCGGAGAGCACTAACTGTGGGCAGAATCCCAGCTACCTCTTGAGAGGTGGAAAGGCAAAGGTGAGAGGCTTATGAGGTCCTGAAATCTGGTTTAAGGCCGGTCTTCCAATGCCGGTGCTTCATTCGAAATCGACAAGGCTGGCCTTGGGTGCCGACGAAGGTTTCAGTACATGTCACTTTCACCTTTCGGGGTCTCCGTGTTCTCAGTTCACCTAAAAATGCGGGGTCTCACTAGATTACCTTGAAAGCCCCATCCCTGCTTTTCCTGTCTATAAGTCTAGGGCTCAGGGGCAGGTGGAGGTGGGATGGGAGGATGTACTGCTACAGAAAATGGTCCAACATGGGAGTCGGTGAGAGAAAATGCATCAGAAAGGGGGCGGTAAGTCAGTAGAATCGGTCTCCAGGGAGGGTGTGTCAGAGACCGTGTCGGAGGAGCCCGCGTCCAGGCGGAGGTGAGAACAGATGCTCCTCTCAAAACTGCAGGATGTGAGTGACCTGGCGCTAACTTAGAGGCTGGACCTGCTGACCAGGCTGCCTAGGTCCAGGCCTTTGAGAGAAGGACAGTCCCACTCAGAGGGACCGAGGGCAACTCCCAATCCCAGCCTCGTCTTAAAGGGCCAGACGCCACGCAGGTTAATTTGCAGGCCGACTGAGGCCGCAGGGGGGCTCACGTGGTGACTCCCAATTTCCCAGGCGTTGCTTTACTGCCCCACTGGGATGAATTCTTAGGGCACCCCTTCCTCCCGTGGGTTATCCGACTCTTCAATGCCCCGCCGGCTCTCTCCTTTCCTCGTCCCCCAGGTCTCCTCACCTCGCGCTCCTCCCTCGCCCCTTCCTCCCCCCATTCCTTCCCTCTTCACATTTCTCCAGACCCTCCTACGCGCGCGACCTTTCTGCCTCCTGGTTTCCTATTTCTCGGCTCTGATGGTGGTATCTCCCTCCTTTCCCGTTTCTACCCCTTTCCCTGGGCTTCTTCCTACGCCTTTCCCACGCTCACCCTGCTCTACTGGACCGCGGTTCGCCGACGACCCGGCTGTACTCAAGCCCGGGGTCCTAGGGGCTCAGAGGCGCCGCCCTCCTTAAGGATGCGCCGATTCTCCCGCCCGCTGAAGGCGGAGTAGAAGGCTATTGGTCCCCCGGTGCGCCTCCCAGGATTGGCAGCTCTTCCTATCCAACCCAGACGCGCAGCCGACTCCCGCCCCTCGCCTGGAAGGACCGCCCGCGAGTGGCTGGCTCATGCCTGACCTGGTCTGGTCCCGACTCCGTCCCGCGCGCGGTGCCTCTCCCAGCTCTTCAGTCTGTTCTACAAGCGGACCCCGCAGTCCTTGCGGGGAGAGCTGCGCCCAGGTTTGCTTTAAATAGGAGGTCGAGTCAGAATTAGAAAGCTGGCCCTTCCTCTCCAAATTTCCTGCTTGCTCACACGTGTTGGCCACACTTTTAAAGAACTCGAACAAACTGATCCTTACTAGTAGCCATGGACCGAGCTCCATGATAATAATAATAGTAAACACCGCCATAGACGCTTTATAACAGTGGTTCCCAAACTTATTTGGCCTACCGCCCCCTTTCCAGAAAAAATATTACTCAGCGCCCCCTGGAAATTAATTTTTAAAAAATTTTAATAGCAATTAAACAGAAAGATATATGTATTAATGTTTCTACCTTTTTCGTAAAATATAGTAAAGAAAGGTGTA